TAAATAAATCTCTCTCACTGCAGCTGCATCAATCTTAGTGAGCATCCTCTGCCTTTCAATTAGCATTTTAATTAGAGCTTCCCTCGCCACCAAGCTTGTCCTTTTGACTGTAGCAACTGATAAGATAAAATGACTAGAAAAATGAGAATTAAGAGAAGGGCCCGGCCATTCTTGGAGAAGAAGCAACGACACCATTTGGACCAACTCGTCTTTATCAGTGTCTTATAAATATCTATGTCCTAGCAAGCGTATCTGATATATCAGCCAATAATGGTGGAACCAGTGAAGCTCATTGGAGGCTTTGGCAGCCCGTTCGTCCACCGCGCCGAGGTCGCCTTGCGTCTCAAAGGAGTGCCCTACGAGCTCATCCTAGAGGACATGACTAACAAGAGCGAGCTGTTGCTGAAGCACAATCCCGTCCACAAGAAGGTCCCTGTGCTCTGCGAGTCTCTCCTCATTGTCGAGTACGTCGACGAGGCCTTTGACGGGCCACCCATCCTGCCGACTGACCCTCATGAAAGGTCTGAGGCCCGCTTCTGGTCCAAATTCTTTGTGGAAAAGGTAATCATGTGTAGAGATAGTTCTTACAATTCAAATCAGCTCTACCACCATTGAAGAAAAAACAGTTCTGCTAGGTAGGATACTCCTCCGCTCATATATACTCCCTCCGTAGCAAAATATAAGACATTTTTGCAGTTCAAATTAAGATGTAAAAACGTCTTATATTTTGGTACAAAGGAAGTAAATCATACATATTGTGTTGGACATTGAATTGATCTCAACCGTAGAATATATATCACTAATGCGTATTATAATTTTTCATTACAACCTAAAGATAATAATTTTTTGCCGGTCTAAAGATATTATTATCAGCTTACCAATATGAATATATTTTTCATATTTCAATAGTTAAAGTAAGACAAGGCGACATATATTTATATTTGTAACCCAATTGAAATACTTTCTAACAACTTTCTTCATTTAGTGCTTGATGTCGTTGTGGCTAGCGCTGTGGACGGAGGGTGAGGAGCAGAAGGTCTTTGTTATGGACGCAAAAGAGAACCTCGTGGTAGTGGAGGCGCAGCTCAACGAGAAGAGGTTCTTCGGAGGCGCCACAATTGGCCTCGCCGACATCGCCGGTGCCAGCCTACTGTCTCTCTGGGCAAGCGTGATGCAAGAGGTCGCAGGGGTGAGCGTGATGACAGACGATGAGTATCCTGCTATCCACCGGTGGATCGAGGACTACAACGCTGATGAAGCTGTCAAGGAGTGCTTGCCGGACAGAAACCATCTCATCTCCTACTTCACCACGATCAGGGGAAAGTGTGTCTCCGCGGCCAAGTCCATGCTACCCAATTATCTAGCCAAGAAATAGTCTAATCTGGTAGGTTTGGTCATGCTTGTGGCCTGAATCAACATGAAGATAAGTAAAAAAATGATAAGGGGGAGCTGCTGGCAAGTTATTGTTCCATGTCACTGTGCTTAGAGTTGATTTGGTTGTAGTTTGTAGGGAGTCCCAAGTGCAAGTCCAACCTCGACTAGCAGACGGCCCTAGTTGCAAATCAACGTTCAACTTCAACTCGCAACTAGGCCGCAGCTATGTTTTTGTCCTCTTGGTTGCAACTTTAACCCCCAACTCATCCAACTTCGTCCCAGTTTGTTTTTGTTGTCCCAGTCGTAGCTCAACAAGGGGTGTGCGGTAATGTTGTACATGATGTGTGTCTAAAATGACACCTAGTTTGTCAAAATGAAGATAACATGTTCTCTGAATTTTCTTCACTAAACAGAAGGTGGAGAGCATTCTGTTATAGAGGTTATGAAACAGGTCCCTATGTTATGGTTTTGACACAGGGAGTTTTTCAGGGAGCTAGTTTTTATGCAGTTACTTTTTAGCGTTTCCGTAACTTATTTTGGGTAGTCTCTAATTGGACCAGTGATATGTTTTTACCGCAGTAGCATCAAGTGGGGGTTTGATTGGTTTGACCCATGTACTATGGTGGTCTGTTTCCAGCAAACAGATAGCTAGTCTCTTTGTAGATAATATTATTACCTTTTTGTTAAAACCATAGTGGTCTTGGTGGGCTAGCAAGGGTTATGTCTTACACAATTCCTTCTTCTATTTTTCTAAGGGGCTTGTACAGGCCATGCATGTCTTGTGCTGTTTTCATTTTTATTGCGATTATTTTCTTAATATTGGTGCAAAAACAGCTATCTAAACTCCTTTTCTTTTTCTTCGTGGTTAGTGAGTGCTGCACAAAACACACATCTTTTGGCGCACAAGGGTGTCAACAGGGATATCAAGCATAGAGAATCAGATATTGTTAGTATTGATGAAGGCAGAGAGCATTTTTTGTTCTAGATGTTTGAGTCCGAAGATGATTGTGTCAATGTAGATTTAACCAAAACAGAAGCATAAGATAACTTGTTGTTTTGCTCTGTTTTCTGTTCAAGGCCTTGCTATGTTCTTTTTTATCAGCTTCGCAACCAAGAAACTTTGATTATGGATGACATTACTAGTAACAAAAAGTATTTAAAAAAGCAGAAGGTGAACATCCCGGCGAGTGGCAATATATTTGAGTCAGCATGTGAAAGCTACATGCTGGCAATCAGGTACCATGTTCTGCAACTCACTCTTGCCAATGATATGACCTGGTGGTATGCATCCAATCCAGTCAAGCAGCAATCAAAGCAATGTAAGAAATAAATTGAACACCCTCTCTCCTAGAGATGCCTTCGAAGACATGTATTCAACTGAAACAAACAACAACTTTCTTAAATATGTTTAGGAGAATCTTAGGAATTTTTTTGTCTAATCACCTTCCAAAATATCAACAATAAAGCTGCAGGGGAAAAGGCATACTAACTATTATTTCTCACACACGCACAAATAACTCAATCCCGACCTAGATTAAAAGTAGAGTAACAAATCTATGGACGTGCATACATTTCAATTATATGCATGTAAGTATGAGCAAGAATATATATCCCACACTTGAAAGGATCTTCTTCTGAACCCAGGCAACAGCTCATGCATGCATAATGCAAGACATAGTAAACTGAAGAGAAAAGTTTGTAGCATATTCCATGAAAACAATCAGGATGTACGGTCCGGCTGATTTAGCATGAATGTAGAACAAACAACGAGTTTGATGAGTGATAGCTAATTTACCTTCTTTAAATACTCATGTAACCTTGTAACCGATAACCCAAATTAAACTAAGAAACAGTAGGAAGGACACGCTATGGTGGCCATCCAATCTCGTATCCCATGTGGGTGTGTTCTTAGGTTTACGCGTTTGCGCCCGAGGAGGATCGATCTCATTTCACATGTGTGTGCGCGCTTGCAGCCAAGGGGAATCCATCAAGCTAGGTTTGTGCACATGCATATCTTGCCGGAAGATCAATCAAGTGTTGCTTTGTCTCATCCAAAATTAATCGCCGATAACATCAGGAGCATGTCGAGGGCGTGCATGGAATTGAGCATGGAGTTGGAGAGGATCACGCAGAGCGAGTGAGATTAAGACGTTATTTCTGTTCCTACAAGTTATTTCTGTTCGTAGGATTAGGGATTTAGTAGTTTTTTTCCATTTACAGAGGGATGAGGTAGGTTTAATGGTGTCAGGTTCCTAATGGTCCATGATTTTCTTTTGAGATGATTACATGCTAGTATTTTTTAGGCATAATTGAACAACTTGCTCGCTTTATTTTGTCTAGGCATATTACATACCTAGGTATATATTTTTTGGCAAACGTACGTAGCTAATGAACCGAGATGTTTTGATTTTCAGCGTCTGTTATGGGCTGCCACATGCGAGGCCCATGTGAAAGGATGAACTGAGTGTGTTTGTATTTTTACAACCCTGAAAGGATTTTGGGCCCTATGAGTTTTTTGCAAGGATTATATGGGTTAATCTACACCGTAATAATTCGGCCACACCAGATGAAGGATTAGTATTTTTTTTATTAAAGTGGGAATTTTTGTGGAGTCTATAATTAGTATAGATAGATAGATAGATAGATGGTAAACCAAACCGATCCGTGAAGGATTTTGAATTGTTAGTACTTCAATGCGATGTGGGTAACATCACATTACTTAGCTATCATGCGTTCACAGTATCATGGAATGCATATTTTTTTGCAACCGGTTGCATGAGCAATTGTATGAGGTCCTTTTGAGTTTCTATAAGCATATAAAAGGCTTATACACATGTTATATTGCCAAGCATAGGCCACAGGTCTAAGCTTATAAACAACAGTGTAAAAGTATAGACCAAAAGTGGGCTTTGCAATATAACCACTATTCAAACTTCATATTGTTGCATGTAAAATAGCATTCAACAATATGAATGTTACACCTTGAATGAAATGAAAAAAGGACAAGTGAACAGTATCATGGGTACATGTCAACTGGACGCGCATATGGATATGTTTGGTAGTAGAGAAACAAAAGCTTATATGCCATAGTAAATCTTTGCTCGTAGCTAGCTACCAAACGACAAGTTAGTGAACGAGTTGCATTCATTTGAATAGGATGTGTCCACCAAACATCCGTGCAAGTGGAAATCATGGCCAACCATCCGTTAAATGGATTGGAAATAATTGCGCATCTGCACGTTGGCAACCGGAGTGCACTATAAGTAACCACACATAGTGTAATCGAACAATCTTCGAGGGTTCTCAGCTCTAGTTCATCTATGAAAAAAAGGATTGACCAACCAATAGCCAATATTCACATAGAGACGCACGAAAACTGGTCGGTGAGCCACTAGGGATTGGGAGGTATCAAGATATTAACTCAAACAATGTTTAGATGGGACTTTCATCGCCGGATGATTCACTGCGTTCTATATTGTACATCGACTAGCCAGTTCATTCAGCCACGCAACGCCTCAGAGGAGTCCCCTACAAACTCCCCCTCATGGACACGCCTTACAAAGCGAAACTGTTTTTGAAGCACAACCCCATCCACGAGGTGTACGTGCTTCCCCATGGAGAAAAACCTTCTGTGAGTCTCTAGTCATCATCTAGCACGCTGACGAGGCCTTCGACGGCCCACACATCCTGCCCACTGATCTCCATGAATGGGCCGATGCTCTCTGCTGGTCAAAGTTCTTTGCAGAAAAGGTAACCATCTATAGAAATGAGTCTGATAAATCAAATCAGTTCTGCTGGAGTAGGACACTCCCACGTCCATGATTATATTGTACATGTTGTCTTGGGCGTTGATATTGGTCTACAACATATCTGTTCATTCAACCCTTTGTTATATGTATATAAATAACATATTATGAAAATAGATTTTATAAAATCCTAAAGATAATGATATTGGCTTACCAGTATGAGTATATTTTTCAATGTTATGATAGTCAAAGTTACATTTGAATGCACAATTCTAGAATGAAAAACATTCAATATTTGGAACCCAATTAAAATACTCACTTGCTACTTTCTTCATGCCGTGGCTGACGTTGGGGATAGAGTGGGAGGCGCAGAAGGTCCTTGGCATGGAGGCACGCTGGTTCTCGAGCAACCGGGGCACACCACGTTAAAAGTTCTAAAAATATTCAAAATGCAAGAACTTTTGAGTCACAAATTCAATAGTTTGAGAAAGGTAAAAAGGCAAAACATTCTATGAATAGTGGTCCATTCAAATTGGCCCGTTAACGCTACCACAACGACAAAAAAAATCAAGCTGTAAGTTGAACTAGTTGTAGCTGAAACGTTGTGACATGTTTGATACTATATGCTATGTCTATGTTTACTCAATTACTTTCAGCAGTTTTGAGAACTTCTGATATGTTTCTTTAATGTTGGGTCTGTACTCCAGGTACACACGATATATATATTCTCGAACGCGAATTTATCCATTTCTGTGATAAGTAATTCGGGACGGAGGGAGTTTGTTGTTTGGTTAGTTGCCCCTGTAGTATTCATTCAACACTCCAGTTCCCAAGCCTCAGCGATTCTTCTTCCTATCACGTAGCAGTGTACTGAACTGAGCGTCTGATAAACTTTTTTAACCTGTGAAGGTCGTAAGGAAGCAAAGCGGTTTAGTTTATTTCCACCCCAAGAAAATAACAATCTTACTGTCAGAAAACAAATGTAAATGTTCCTAGGAGGAGCAGTAACGGAATATATTTAGCTTATCCACGCAGAAATAGGTTTCCCTACAAATACTACCAACGTATCAAAATACAGAATGTTTTTGCAGTTCAATTTTTTTTGCAATTTAAATTGAGCTGCAAAAACGTCTTATATTTTGGTACGAAGGGAGTACTAGGTTACTAAAGGTCTCCATATACATATCGAACCTAAAAGTACTTCAAACTTTTCAGAACAGAATATTAACTGCCGAAGGAAGCAAGAATGGGGGAGCCCACCGTGAAGCTCATCGGCGCTTTTGGCAGTCTGTTCAGCCACCGTGTCGAGGTAGCCCTGAGGCTCAAGGGAGTTCCCTACAAGCTCGTCCTTGAAGACCTGAGCAACACGAGCCAGCTGTTGCTGTGCTGACCCACAACCCCATGCACCACATGGTTTGTCCCTGCTCCTTCGCGGCGGCCAGCCCATCCCGGAGTTGCTCGTCATCGTCGAGTATATCAACGAGGCCTTCGACAGGCCGCCACTGTCGGCTGACCCCCACGACCGGGCCACCGCCTGCTTCTTGGCTCTGTGAAGCCAGTAGATGATCGGTTGTCTTGTATGGTTTTTTTAAAACGAGGCAAAAGACTTGTCATTTTTATTGATTATAAAGAAGTGAGAATTATCTGGTTAATTAATAAAAAACCGGGATAAAACCAATACATCACAACCCAGACATGGGCACCACCGGCTAACCTGGCCAAGCCAATAGAAAGCCACATGCGCAAACACCGACATCTCCGACTATGACGACGCGCATTGCAAGGGAAATATGCATGACTTGCGCCAACATTGGCCTTCGCAAATGACCACTGAGAACCTATCATCTTCACCACCTGGAGCCGTTGCAACGCAGTTCCGACTTCAGACCAACGAGGCAACCACGGAAGAGCACCTCAGACACGCCGGAAAGATCCAACTACCGAAGCCCAAGCCGCGATCCGAGCTCCTCTCAATGCCAGCACTACTAGGGAAAACCTTATACACAGAATCTTAGCAGCACTGCGACACAAAAAGAAGCGCTACTGCTAATTAGCAGTAGCGCGGGTTTTTAAACCTCGCTACTACTAAGTTGATAGTAGTAGCGCGGGTTTTTAACCCTCGCTACTACTAAGCGGTCTCTACCGTGGCCCCCGACACATGCCATAGTAGTAGCGAGGGGTATAAACCCGCGCTACTACTAAGTTGATAGTAGTAGCGCGGTTTTATACCCCTCGCTACTACTAAGTACGAGGTAGGTGAAGTCGCCATATCCTCGGCTGAATCCCCATCTCCTCCCCCAAATCCCTCCTCTCGTCCACCACTCTCTCCTCTCACTTTCCATACGCTCTCACATGGACCTCTTGCCCATGCACCCATCCTCCTCCATGGCGCCGAAAGAGGCCGCCGCCTCGCGCCACCGGCGTCTAGAAGCTCGCCGGTCTTCCACCGACGTCTAGGAGGCCGCCGCCCCGCGCCACCACACCGGAGCACCTCGCCATCGATGACTAGCTCCGCTGCTCCCTACATCACCTTCGTCTCTCCCTCGGTTTTCCTTTTCTCTCTCTCCCTCTGGTTTAACTCACCCTCCCATGTCCATGCCCGTGCAGGTCGTCGCCATGGATGACCCGGAGCTATCTGGTATGGTCGGGAAGAGGAGCCCCACGTCACGGCCTGGCTCTTCCATAGAAACGGGCCCTCTCTCCAACAGCCACTGCTGGATCTGGTCTTCCACTGTCCGTTCATGCCTCCAGTGACGCCAATCATCGCTAGATCTTACCACTGGTGCCATTGACAGCACGCACGGGATCGAGATTTTTTTTGTTTTTGAAAGTAATAGCAGTAGCGCGGGGTATAAGACCCGCTACAGCTAATTAGCAGTAGCGCTGTTTGCAACGCACGCTACAGCTAACCATGTATAGCAGTAGCGTGTGTCAACACGCGCTACTGCTACAAGTTAGCTGTGGTGCCGTCTCAGTAGCGCGGGCACCCGCGCTACTGATACACCCGAAACCCGCGCTGCTGCTAGGCTTTTCCCTAGTAGTGCAGTATCGTTGCCAAACAGAAATCTACGCCCCTAAAATGGCCTCCTCAGCAAAACCACGCGGCGAAGATGCAACCATCCACCGGTCTCGAAATTGCAGCCGGTTCTGAGGCGATGCCCCCAAGGAGGAAAAGGACGTGAGGACACCTTCATCGCCCGATCCCGCGGATCTGAGGTTTCCCTCCAGAGCCATGGCCATGGGGAGAGGAGAGGAGCACCACACAACAAAGACTCTTCCAAGGAAGTGTGCAACGCCCGCAAGCACCGCCGATGCTGGATCCGGCCAAGGCCGGAGAAAGCATTTCTCCTGGTGGAGCTCGACCCCAACTGCCCGTACCGGCCGGCCACGAACCACCACCCACAAATCACCGCAGAGCACCGAGGGGAGAGCCTCCCGTCTGCGCCCGCACCCGCTAAGGCCATCCCACGCGGCTAGTCCTGGCCATGGGCAGCCCGGCCTGGCCCGACACTGCTCCCGTGCCGGGCCCGAGCCCGTTGTTTTTGCTATTTCCCGAAGGGACCCGGCCCAAGGCCCAGCAGGCTTTTACGCGTGCGGGCCGGGCTTGGGCCCAAAAATCCGGCCCGATGGCTGGGCCAGGCCGGGCCATCGGGCCTAGGTTTTTTATGTCGGGCTTAGCTAGGCCCGACCCGAGGTATGGCTACATATATGCACGGCTACCAGGCCAGCAGCTGTAGCGCTGCCGGAACCTGGGCGCGCCCGCCATCCTGCACCATCAAGCCGCCCTAGCCGGAAGAGCGAGGGCAGCACCCGGATCTCACCGGGCAGCACCTCCCACCGCCGCCGCAGTTTGCGCAGCCGTTCTGTATGTCGTTCAGGTCCGTCGGCAGATGGCGGCGAGAAGCACAAGAAGGGCTCCATGAAGGAGGCCAAGGGAAAGCTGTTGCTTCTGGAGGGGCAGCTGAAGGGGAGGAAGTTCTTCACCGGCGATGCCAGAGAACGTCACCGGCGGGCTGTCGCACTGGCTGCCCGATGAGTTCTGCGGGGTGACGCTCGTGGCCGACAAAGAGTTCCCCGGTGTATGCCGCTGGGCGAAGGCATACATCGATGAGGAGCACGTGAAGCGGTGGCTGCCAGACAAGGGGGCGCTCGTCGCCATTAGGGTCGGGCCCATAGGTGTGCAAAACGTGCGGCCCGCACAGGGCCATATAATTTGAGGGCCCCAAGTTCTTTTTAGGGGAGCAACTAATTAACGAGCGCTCCTTCGGCAGCCTCGCAACGATCAGCGCCACTTGGCGCGCTCTCAGCCATTCGCCACGTGTCGCGCTCTTGGCGCTCCCTCTGGATTTTTTTATTTTTCCGCACGCGTTTTTGGCTTTTTAAACGGTTTTTTTGGGGTTTTTTTTGACGTTTTGGTTTTCCACCGGTCTTCCCTAGCTTTTTGACCAAACAAAATTTTCGGAATTTTTTTTTTGCGCAAAAAGACGCATTTTTTTCGCGAGAGTCACGGTTTTGTTTTCGCGAGAGGCACGGTTGTGCTTTCGCGAGAGGCACAGCCGTGCCTCTTGGAAACGAAAAAAAAAACATGTTTTCTATTTTTTTTCCTTTCGCTAGAGGCATGGTTTTGCTTCCGCCAGAGGCACGGTTGTGCTTTTGCGAGAGTCGCGGCGTGCCTTCTCGGAAACGAAAAAAAAACATATTTTCTATTTTTTTTCGTGAGAGGCACGGTTTTGCTACCGTGAGAGGCACGGTTGTGCTTTTGCGAGAGGCACGGGCGTGCCTCTTTCTTAAAGGGAAAAACGTGTTTTCTGTTTTTTTAGCGAGGGGCACGGTTTTGCTTCCGCGAGAGGCACGATTGTGATTTCGTCAGAGGCACGGGCGTGCCTCTTTTGAAAAGGAAAAAAAACCGTGTTCCCGATTCGATTTTTTCGTCGGTTTTTTTCGTCCGTTTTTTTGTGAAAAAAAGTTTGGCAAAATCTATCAACATGGGATCTAGTTTTGAAGACCTCGTCGCGAGGAATCCAACGACGAAAGCGGTTCGAGATTTGGACGGACGGTTTAAGAGATAAAACGTTTTGATTAAACGGATCTACGAAAAAAAGGAAAACTCTCAGGTTGCGACAAGTGGCGCACATACACCGCGCCACTTGTCGCAACCTGGGGCAGTTAGAGTGATCTCCGCAAGGAATACTCAACTAATGATTTGGTCTTTTTAGGCCTATAAGATGTTGGTGGTTCCTGGGCGCTGGGCCGCGCTTGGCTCTGGGCCGCTAGCGCGTGCGCGTGAGTTGAGCCTCGAGGCGTTGAGCGTCGGATGGATCATCCGCTACAGCGCTGCTTGATAGAAATTAGGAAAAGGAGATCGTCAACCCGGAAAAAGAAGAAACCGAATCGTCGGATCGATCGACGAATCGCAAGCAAGCGAAAGAACTTGCGTCGCTACAGGCTACAGCGTACAGGAAACATGATCATCCATCGTCGGATCGATCGGCTTCGGCGACAGTTCTTACAACGCTGCTAGATCGGATCATTGGAAACGTGATCGTTGGATCAATCGGCAACAGTTCCAGACTCCAGAACACCGGCAAGGGGCGGCACGGCTACAGTTCCAGACTCCAGAACACTGGTGATGGGCAGCATGGCGACAGTTACTCTGATCCTCTCGCCAAAACAAGTAACCTCCCACTGGGGAGTCCTTTCTGATTAACTTCGGCTCCTACTCCTAATTTCTAATTAGAGATCAGGAGAGTTAGATGGTTCGTCTAATTGCCAAACATTCATGCGTAACCTCCAATTGATATCTGCTGTGTTATCAGTTTAGTTTTCTTTTATCCGTGTTTTGTATCTTGTGTTTCAATAATACTGATTTTAGTCATCACGAGGAAACATCATTCTAGTAAGACATTGTATCATATACATTATAATTGACTTTTTTTACGGTTATATACATTATAATTGCTCGTTAGTTTTTTTTCTTGTAAAATAGGGCCTCATCCATTTTTTAGTTTCGCACAGGGCATCAGATTTTGCCGGCCCAGCCCTGGTCGCCATACACTATCTTCTCCACCTGCAGGGAGAGATGTTTCGGTGAATCAGAAGTGACCCTCTTATGAGGTCTCACTCTCGAGTCGTCGGTGCTAAAAAAATGGTTATGAGCCATGGACTGTATGGTCGACATGCTGGCAATGCTCCTTGCTCCAGTTTCATCCATGCTCTGCTTTGCTCCTTGCTCTGCTTTCTACTCAAGGATGGTGTCAATGTTTCTCCTTGCTCTGTTTTTCTTTATCAGCTTCGCCATCAAGATTTTTTTTTTTTGGACTTGCCATCAAGAAACTTTGATTATGGAAACATATAGAACATATCGATACACAAGTCAAACAAAGTCACTGTCCTTCTAGATTATAATCTGTGTTCTATACTATATTATCGGCTAGCTGCTTAAATAAATCTCTCTGATTGCGTCTGCATCAATCTTAGTGAGCATCCTCTACCTGTCAATTAGCATTTTAATTACAGCTTCCCTCGCCACCAAGCTTCTCCTTTTGACCATAGCAATTGATAAGAACAAATGACACTAGAAAAATGAGAGTTAATAAAAGAGCCCGACCATTCTTGGAGAAGAAGCAACAACACCATTTGGACCAACTCGTATTTATCAATGTCTTATAAATATCTATGTCCTAGCAAGTGATTCTGATATACCAGCCAATAATGGTGGAACCAGTGAAGCTCATTGGAGGCTTTGGCAGCCCGTTCGTCCACCGCGCCGAGGTCGCCTTGCGTCTCAAAGGAGTTCCCTACGAGCTCATCCTAGAGGACATGACTAACAAGAGCGAGCTGTTGCTGAAGCACAATCCCGTCCACAAGAAGGTCCCTGTGCTCCTCCACGGGGACAAGGCTGTCTGCGAGTCTCTCCTCATTGTCGAGTACGTCGACGAGGCCTTTGACGGGCCACCTATCCTGCCGACTGACCCTCATGAAAGGTCTGAGGCCCGCTTCTGGTCCAAATTCTTTGTGGAAAAGGTATTCATGTATAGAGATAGTTCTTAGAATTCAAATCAATTCTGCTAGGTAGGATACTCCTCAGCTCATAAATACTCCCTCCGTACCAAAATATAAGACGTTTTCCCAGTTCAAATCAAGATGTAAAAATGTCTTATATTTTAGTACAGAGGTAGTATATCATACATATTGTGTTGAAAGTTGAATTGGTCTCATCCATAGAATATACTATATTAATAATACGTATTGTGATTTATCATTACAACCTAAAGATAGTTTTTTTTGCGGGTCTAAAGATAGTATTTTCAGCTTACCAATATGAATATATTTGTTCACATTTCAATAGTTAAAGTAAGACAAGACGACATATATTTATATTTGTAACCCAATTGAAATACTTGCTGACAATTTTCTTCATTTAGTGCTTGTTGTCCCTGTGGCTAGCGCTGTGGACGGAGGGCGAGGAGCAGAAGGTCTTTATTATGGACGCAAAAGAGAACCTCACGCTAGTGGAGGCACAACTCAAAGAGAAGAGGTTCTTTGGAGGCGCCACAATTGGCCTCGCCGACATCGCCGGTGCCAGCCTACTGTCTCGCTGGGCAAGCGTGATGCAAGAGGTCGCTGGGGTGAGGGTGATGACGGACGATGAGTATCCTGCTATCCACCGGTGGATCGAGGACTACAACGCCGACGAAGCTGTCAAGGAGTGCTTGCCGGACAGAAACCATCTCATCTCCTACCTCACCATGATCAGGGGAAAGTGTATCTCCGCGGCCAAGTCCATGCTACCCAATTATCTAGCCAAGAAATAGTCTAATCTGGTAGGTTTTGTCATGCTTGTGGCTTGAATCAACATGAAGATGAGTTACAAAAAGAGAAGGGGGAGCTTTTTTTTTTTCGAAAAGGGGGGCTTCCCCGGCCTCTGCATCAGCATGATGCATGCGGCCATCTTATTAAGCATAAAATAGTCCACAAAGTCTCCAAGTCTCAAGGTTGTCAACAAGAAAAGTAAGAAATGGCTCACACAGAGCCCGAAGGCTAGATACACAAGCTAGCCAAAGCACTTATACATCACAGCCGTTTGGCTCCAAAATAGACAGGTAAACTAATTGCCTATCCTGTTACACGACCGCCATCCAAACCGGCTGAATATATCCCGAGCTACCATCTCCCATCGGATAGCAGCAGTAACCAAAAGCTCCCTGGCCTCCGTCGGAGTGAGTAGCGACCAGGAACGGATAAGAGCCGTTGCTCGGAAGATAACCTGCAAAACATGGATATTTGTTGATCTGTTAAAGACGAAGTCATTTCTGCAATTCCAAAGCGCCCACAAAAAAGCGCAAACCCCCAAGCGAATATGTTTTGCTAACCCGGGCTCTACCCTAGTTAGCCATGTCTCAAACAACATGTTAACCGACCTTGGTGGGGTAATATTGAAAGCGACTTGAATAGTCGTCCAAAGAATTCTAGCTAGTGGGCAGTCAAAGAAAAGATGTTTAATGGTTTCACCCTGATCACAGAAACTACACCTAGTAGGTCCTGTCCAATTACGCTTAATAAGATTATCCTTTGTTAAGATCACCTGTTTATGTAGAAACCACATAAACACCTTGATCTTTAAAGGAACTCTGACGTCCCACACATGCTTTGAAGTAGGAATCGAGCTGGAATTAATAACATCAACATACATTGATTTAACCGTGAATCCCCCCGACCTAGTGAGATTCCAGCGTAATTTATCAGGTTGTTGAGATAGTTGTACCTGCATCAGTCTCCTAACTAGATGCAGCCACTCTTCCCAACGATTGCCCACTAACGATCTTCTAAACTGGATATCCAGGGGTATCGAGGCGAAGACCGATGCAACCAAAGCATCGCGCCTTCGAACTATACGATACAGAGACGGATACTGGATTGCTAGGGGAGCCTCTCCAAGCCAAGTATCCTCCCAGAATCTCGTGCTTGCACCATTACCAACTAAATGCTTTGACCTCTGAAAAAATGAAAGCTTCACTTTCATAAGCCCTTTCCAAAAGGGTGAATCAGTTGGTCTAACCGACACCTGAGCCAAAGTTTTGGTTTGGAGATACTTGTTACGCAGGATTTGAGCCCACATGGCGTCAGTTCCTGAGGATAACTTCCACAACCACTTACTAAGAAGGTACCGGTTCTTGACTTCGAGATTCTCAATCCCCATACCCCCTTGGTCTTTCGATCTACAAATGATATCCCACTTCGCTAACCGATATTTTCTCGTAGGCTCGTCCCCCTGCCAAAAGAACCTCGATCGATAGAAGTCCAGTCGTTTCCTAACTCCAACTGGGACTTCAAAGAAGGACAAAAGGAACATGGGCATGCTCGTGAGCACCGAATTAATAAGAATTAAACGGCCTCCATACGACATGAGCTTGCCCTTCCAACAACTTAGCTTCTTCTCGAAACGATCCTCAATACACTTCCATTCATTATTCGTGAGCTTGCGGTGATGAATAGGAATTCCTAAGTAGGTAAAAGGCAGCTCACCCAAACCACATCCGAACAACTGCTTGTAATCCTCTTGTTCCTCTTTGGCTCTCCCAAAGCAGAACAACTCACTTTTGTGGAAGTTAATTTTGAGCCCACTTAGCTGCTCAAACAAACAAAGCAGCAGCTTCAGATTTCTAGCTTTTACCAAGTCATGCTCCATGAAGATGATAGTGTCATCAGCGTATTGCAGGATGGATATACCCCCATCCACTAAGTGTGGCACCAAGCCCCCTATTTGGCCAACTTCCTTGGTTCTCCCTAACAACACCGCCAACATATCGGCTACTATGTTGAATAGAATAGGGGACATCGGATCTCCCTGCCGCAGGCCCTTATGTGTCTGGAAGTAATGACCGACATCGTCATTCACTTTTATGCCAACACTACCCTTTTGCGTAAAAGTTTCAATCTGGCTCCTCCAGCCCTCGTGGAAACCTTTCATACGCAAAGCTTGTTGCAGAAAAGGCCATTTAACTTTGTCATACGCTTTCTCAAAATCTACTTTAAAGATGACTCCATCAAGTTTCTTAGAGTGAATTTCCTGGAGCGTTTCATGCAACACCACCACCCCTTCAAGGATGTTTCTGTCTGGCATGAAAGCTGTTTGGGATTGCTGCACCACAGAATGCGCAATCTGTGTGAGCCTATTAGTCCCAACCTTGGTAAAAATTTTGAAACTGACATTCAAGAGGCAGATAGGACGGAACTGCTCAATCCTGAGAGCGTCGGTCTTCTTTGGAAGCAACGTTATCGTTCCAAAGTTCAAATGAAAAAGTTGAAGCCGTCCAGCAAAAAGGTCGTGGAACATGGGTAGCAGATCCCCTTTGATGATATGCCAACATCTTTTGTAAAACTCCGCCGGGAACCCATCC